AGGTTAAATAGTCTCTATATGGTTTCCATACACAAAAGTTTTTCGTTTTTACCGTAGCCTACTGTAAATGAGCGATCCTCCTTGAATGACTGCAGTAAATACTGAGTTTTGAGCCCTTCAAAGAACCTCCTTGAGAAGAGCTTACCGCACCTGTTAGTAGGGCTTAAAGGCGCGTCTCAGAAACAAAGAGGTGGAAGTTTCTCACCAAAATGATTCTACAGGGGAGTGGGCCGTTAGTGGAAAAGGGACAATGATCCGCTGGAAATGCTGAAATTGAAGACGCTCTTTCGTGAGGCAGACTGTGCTGTATCAAGTGAGACCCTGAGTGCTGATGAGAGGGAGTAGGCGAAAGTACCGAACGAGGAATGCAGATGCACACCTCACCCCATGACCGTTGCATTACGACCAACAGCGGGAACAGCCAAAAGCCCAAGTGACAAGTCCCCAGCGCCCTTGTCGGCCGCTTTTGGGCCGCGACATTGGCACATGTTCTACTTTTGCGGATAGCTCTGCCGTAATAACCGAAGAGGCCAGCCCACCTGAATTTGGAATGGCCTTCGACAGATATATGTGCTTTTGGGTGCTTTTGTAATATTCATCATGGCACTAGTCCTGCAACAAGGTAATGGGCTGATCCGAGGAGGCACCACAACAGAGCTGTGATATTGACTACCGCGGAAATTGGTATGGCCTAGTTGGCACCAGACCTGTATTTATGCATGAATACCTTAGCTGGTATGCTGGGTTTGCTCACCTAGCCCCATCATGACTGTATCTCCATGACCAATAATAGAATCTGACGGTATAACTCACCACCCGGTAGAAATATTCAGTACCTTTTACTTGACTAGTCGATTCCATTCTCTTTCTCTGCAGGTGGCGGATGGCGAGTGGTAGAAGGTGCTGTTGAAGGTCAAACTCAAACTGATCTGCCATCAGCGTTCGACGAAGCCTATTTCGCTCATCCAATAGATTTACATCTTGCCACGAAAACTATTCAAGGTGAGTTAGGCATAGAATTTCTTCTGGGTAATATCCGGTTTTGAAGGATGTACCTGGTGTATGAAGTTCAGGATCGCAAATTACATGCCTAAAAGACACATTTCAAAAGGTATGATCTGGGTTTTTAAATACAAAACTGAATTTGATTCGTGGTCCATTAGTGGAGAAAGGTTCAAAAGAGCCGAGAAATCGTTGCGTGTCAGTGAGGTGACTTTGAAAGATGAGCCCTCTTCTTACACGGAGCAGAGTGTGAGCAATTTCCACGATGGCTTTATAATGGTAAAGCATTTATTATTACCAGATTAGTCCCCCGTCAACCGCCGGGACCTTCCTTTCCTGCGCAAGCTTTCTATCCTCCGCTATGGTCCCTTCCTCCTGTGACACCAACACCTCTGGAAGTGACGCGTATGCAACACAATGGTGTTTCATACAGTAGAAGGGACACAATCATGATATGACGGTAGATTTTTCGCTTCCCTTCCTCATCCTCCCTTCCTCTCTCCACTGCCCTCCAGCTGCCACTGCAGCACCATGTGGAATGAACGGAAGTGTGCTAAGCAGGTGTTTATATAGCCCTAAGAGTGTTATCACAACTATCCTGCTACAAAACATTGATATCTCAAATCCTGTAAGCTACCCGATTTGTTAGCGGTTTGTTTATCCCATGAGCTTCCTTCTCACTCACTTCATTTTGCGGACGGACACACATACACACACACACACACTCACACACACACATACAGATACACAAACCGACACACAAAGTTAGCGCTTTATATATAATAAAGGATAAATTAAAGTAACAGCGAAAAACGGCCTTTATCAGCGTAAATCAAAGCGTTTCCACATCGTTTAGGCTGGCCAAAATACAACTTCAAGTCTGGCATCATGACGTTTACGGACGACAAGAACTGGTTGGATATGGCTCTCTTTTCTTACCGAGTACACCAGGAGAGCATGAGGTATAATTTTCCCTTCTTCTGAGTTCCTGAACATCGAAACGTTTCTTTTCAATTTTATTTATTCTGTAATCAAATTGCTTATTTACAGTTGACGTGCCACATATGGCGGCCTAAGGGTTCCACAAGAGAAGAAGTTATGCAACGATTTGTTGGCGGTGGCATACAGGTTTGTGTTACTTATAATCAAGGCATAAACAATATGAGGAGCTCCTGTGAGGTTCTCATTGCAGCCATTCCGTCGATGTTTCAGTTCTCACAGAAAAGAAAAAATCGTGAAAATCGTGCTTTTCAAAGTCTCAGTTGAGCAATCCTGAGGCCTTCAGATAGATCAAAGGACTACTAATCGGCGGAATTTTGAGGGCTTATCAAACAGTAAGTTGCACGCGGTCACTGAAAATCAGCGGTTATGCTCACCTCGGGTTACCCTTCGTGATGCTGACTCACACTCCACTCCAAGCCCCCTCGTTTCACCCCTCCCCTCCCTTCTCCCCACCTTTGAACTGCCATTCCTTAGTACTGATGTATGGCTTACTCCGCGAAATGTGAGCTTTGCGAGTGTGTGTGCGGCACAAGACCTGACCATTATTCAAAGGATATACCACTCGACGTTGATAAATCTTTGTTGCGAAGCGCCCTGCATTTTATCTCCGTTCAAATTCCTACCAGCATTGAATGCGATTTGGTTCATTGTGAAGCCGCACGAAAGGGTCAGTGTTTTAACTCTCTCAGACCAAGTAACAGGCCACGGAGTGATTATGGCCCGGACGGCGCACGTTCCGGGATTTGCGGCGGTAGGCGGCGCTTTTTGCCACCACACCATCTCTGCTCGTGACGAATGTATGACACATGCTTTAATTTTATTTTAACAAATTACAAATTTTAACATTACTATTTATATTATCACAAGAATGCTGAGTTGTGGACAAAACTTTCGCCCCAGCCGGGATTCGTACCCGGATCTCTTGCTTTCCGGGCAATTGTGCTACCAGTTACGCTATTGTTATATTTATCGTATCAAATGCAAGTTGCCGAGGAGAGTATGATCTTTGCACTGGAAAGATAAAGCGCTGGACTTAGAAGTCCCATTTCTCGGATCCAGCCATTTTCTCGTTTTTTTCTTCTTTCGTGCATCACTGGCCATCTCTTACTTAATTCCAACCTGCTGCCTTCTCATCATCACCTTTGAATGGATAACGTTATGGAACATGTATTAGAGTGAGGAAAAAAAAGGTTTTTTTACCCACTAAAATCCTAAATCCGTGCTGACCCTCACAAAAAGCAACAGTAATTATTCCATAAAAAGCTTTTTATGAATTTCCTCACATTCAACACAGCAACATTCGGGATTTGCTTGGAGTATCACTTTTGGGTT